TGTTGAACCGTGTATAAGACTTAATAAATACTTTTGTATATTAATTTTAGGATGAAATGAAGAAATTTAGGACTTTTTTCCTAAAAAAAACCAAAACAATAAATTTAATCACACTCTATGAGAAATACACTGCGTTCAAATGTTGAATTCCCACAAATAATGGAAAAACTATTCCAGCTTAACAATGGAGAGAAAACCAAATAAATATAAAACCCTAAATAATCCAATATTTTCTCTCGCATTACTGAGAGAAAGAAACATACGGTAGAAAAGCTACAGAACGGATTTACATAATTGTTAGAAAAAAAAGGCATCTCCTTATCGTGCAACTGAAAGTTGCTGATGGCTTGCGCCATCTGACGGAATAAATATCAACTATTTGATGATTCTTAATTATTACAGAATTGAACAAATATACCGAAACGAATCGCGTACATGGTTAGCTTTTATTGATTAATCAAAAATGGGTATTGGGCCAATTCTGGAATAATTAAAAATCAACAAATAGTTGGTATTATTATCAACTTTCCAGAGAATGGTTGCAAGGTTTACCCACTATGTACCAAGTTTCAACCTGCAACCCCAAAACACATTTTTGATTCATCCATTGATGAGCTCTACTCATCCCCAGCAAACACCATCAACAAGCTCTACAAGCTTGATACCCTAATATGATTGAGTGGAGATAAGAAAGAAGAGTACAATATCACATTTGTACGATTTTTTCATAATACGATTTGTAAAAAAATGTATTTTGAATGTTTAAATGTATTCATATTTTGAAGTATTTTGTTATTGCTGTACACGACTATCAAATTGAAAACTTTTAAAAATGAGATGGGGAAAATATGTAATATTTCTTTTTTTAATTTGCATATAGGGGAGAGCGCGTACGCAGTCCCCACTACCAAAAATTACGCGCCCCAGCTATCCCAGTTTGGGAAAGTGGCCAGGGTCAACCCAACCGCAGTGCAATGGCTGGGTCTCTCCTGGGGGCACGGGTTTGTTGAGCCCCGTGACACCGACGCCAGGTAAGTATGCCTAAACGCGGTCTGAACACCCCCCAACTTCAATCTAAATCTTCGTCTAACGGGTTGTTAAAAATATTTTGGAGATATAATAAAAATATCTATATATTTCATGTTCATTTTTTATATAATAAACAAATATAATAATAGAATTTCATTAAAGTAAATATTTTAGATATAATTTAGCAATTAGGCTTACGCTACGCCATCTATTGAGGAAATTATAAACTATTTTGAGAATCCCTAAACATTTCTTGTGGTTTTATAATGCTAAATATTAGGATATATTAAAATTTTGAATTAATAATTTTAAGAGAGAGAAAGTTTTTATTTAAAAATCATATTCATAAAAACTACTTACAAATAAATATTCTATAATTTTTGAAATTAATTTTTGTGAAATTTGATTACTACACGGTTTGCTAAATTGTTTGAAACAAGTGGATGCTTGCAGAATTACAATAATTCTATAGAGAGAGAGAGAGAGAAAGAGTTTGTTGTATTTATGAATATTTGACTTTAATTTCTAAACTTTAAATTTCAAGAGATGGGTCATCATAACTCATATATTTCTGCAACAGCGTGAAAACACGCCGATGTATTAATCCATACTACTTACGGTCAGCAAAAATAGTTTCATTTTTAAACTAACAAATCCCAACTTGAACGCAAGGTAATAAGACCAAAAACAAATAAATAAATAGTGTAACGCTGTGTTACCGAAACGTCACACACTATTTATTTATTTATTTGGATTTGGTCTCTTAAGGAAATATCTTTATTTACGGGGCTGCTAACCAAAATGGATGATCTTTGAGCCCCAATGGACGCATAAACCACTATGACCAGGCTGGGGAGGCTAGGAACAGGATCTCCTTCAGGGGAGAGGCTGGTTAGGCCAGAAAAGGGTCCGCGGATGTCAGGAGGAGGCAGTAAGAGGGAGAGAGGTCTAGAACTTTTCAGCTCTAGCTCTGGTAGTTTAGCAAGACATTGATCTTGCCTCGTGGTCGGCAGAGAGGCCCTTGGTTGAGCAGTTGGTGAACTGGGCCGTGCGCGGGTTGGCGAGAGTTGGACAGTTTCAGCCTTGGTGCTCACCAGAAGCGCAGTGGAAGCAGGTGACCGTAGCCTTGGTGCACCTATCGGCGTTTGGCCGTAGCCACAGCAGCGGTTGCAGACACGGACAGACTCCTCCTAGGTAATGATCACGTGGTCCACAATGATCCTGCTGCGTCTTCCAATGGCCTTGAAGGAAGCCAAGTTCAGCTCGATGAAGGCTGTGCAGGTGCCATTTCTGGTCGAAGATCTGTGTGCCACGCGAAAAGACTTGTCTCCAGGAAGCTGGCTGAGGGCTTCGGTGGAAAGGAAAGCCTTGACAATGTACTCATCTGCGGTTTCCGCCTCCATGTTGAAGAAGCAGATTCTTGGGAGGAATTGCCTCAGTTCCCGGACTTTCAGGCCTTGGAGCTTGTTGTCCAGGGCAGACCTGACGGCAGGAATGGCCTCTGGAGTGTTGGAGTGCAGCACCAGTTTTTCCCTGGTGCGCAGCAATGCCCAGACGCCTTGAGGCAGAGTGTTGGCAGCGCGGACAGTTTTGAAGATGTCCCGTGGGTCTGCCTGCGGGTTATATGTAATAACTACGATGTGGGCCGATGTGATTTATTATGTTACAGCTTATTAGCGATTTTTAAAAGTGTTTCCTATATTTTACCACTTCTCTAAATATGATTGCCCCCCGCCGCTTTTATTTTCACTCAGATATATCTAATTGCTCGATGACAGAAGATAAAATATTTTATTTTTCCCTTTTTAGTGCATTTGGAAATCGCTTTTTTTATATAATGTATTCAACTTATTAACTATTTACATAGTTTTTAGCCATGAATTTACAAAACCTAGAATCAAAAGTTCGCTTGGGATTAGGCCTTAAATAGAAGGGAGGCCTGCTCGCGGCGGATTGGTCAGTATAAGGGCGGTAACAAAAGACTTAAAAATAAATATAGAAATTTGTTCATTTCAGGCCACTCCGACTACCCTAAAACCCAGAAATCTAAAAATTTGTCAATTTGCATTGTCTTCGGGTTCTGAAAAGTGTACAAAGGGCTCTAGAAGTATATTGAAAATTGATTAGAAAATTTGTGGACAGATAGGAAGCAAGTTAAATAAAGGCTTTTAAAAAATATTTTTTTATCGAAAGCAATGGAACAACCCCAGACTTCAAGCCACCCTACCAGTAATACAGTACTGCCAATATTTCCAGTAGGTACACATTCCTATTCCATCTCGAATTTACCTGAATGTCTACAATTAAAAAACCAAGAAGAAACCATAGCTGTTAAAAGAGTTCTATTCAACTGTTGAAAACATATTTTCTCAGCTCTGGAATATAAACACATTGAATATACCACATATTAGAAAATAGAACGCCTTTAACGAGCATTATAGTAAAAAAATTTCATGAAGTGTATAAGAGATAAATTCGATATTCACATACCGTTTAAAAATAAAATCCAGTGAAATTTGATTTTAGTGATGTCCAAGGTGCCAGACAGTTTTATAGGACAAAGGTAACCAAAGCCAAGGTAACTCCTATACTAATTGAGAACAAGAGTAGGAAAGTGGAAAAAAAACAAAATATATTTATACAGGGAGAAAACACGAATGAGAATAACAGTCCATCTTAGATGAAAGCATATTCCGAATTCAAGATCCCTCTCAAGGCTCTAACAATGTAAATATGTAAATACACTGTATATTGGTGGACGCTTCATAGTTTTTTTAATGGAGAGGCGCCCTATGCTTTTATATTATTCATTGTTGTTATTATCTTTTCCAATAAAGAGCCTCAGATGTCTCCATACATCTCCATCACAGTAGTCGCAATGTCCTTCATCTTGGGCGTGTAAAGCTGCTGCTCTGGGTCCATGTCAATTTTCTGTTGTTGTCATGTCCAATGAAGAGCCTCAGATGTCTCCATGCATCTCTATCACAGTAATTACAATATTCTCTATCTTGGGTGTGTAAAGCTGCTGTTCTAGGGTCATGTCAATTTTCTGTTGTTGTCATGTCCAATGAAGAGCCTCAGGTGTCTCCATGCATCTCTATCACAGTAATTACAATATTCTCTATCTTGGGTGTGTAAAGCTGCTGTTCTAGGGTCATGTCAATTTTCTGTTGTTGTCATGTCCAATGAAGAGCCTCAGATGTCTCCATGCATCTCTATCACAGTAATTACAATATTTTATATCTTGGGTGTGTAAAGCTGCTGTTCTAGGGTCATGTCAATTTTCTGTTGTTGTCATGTCCAATGAAGAGCCTCAGATGTCTCCATATCTATCACAGCAGTCGCAGTGTCCACTATCTTAGGTGTGTAAAGCTAGTTAATAAAGAAGTTAGAGCCAAATTCAACAAGTTCTGGAAATTCTCGAATTCTGCACATTCACATGTTAAAACTTCCATAACTAATTAGAGTGTAGTTTTAATTATTCAAATTTTTTTTTTATAAATTGAGAAATGTTATTTGTAAACAGCTTGTACAAATCCAATTTTTAATTATTAAAATCTTGCCTTCAAAAATATTAATTTATAAATTTTAATATATCCCAATTTCTTGTTTAATTAAAAAAATCACGAAAGACGTTTGAGATCTTCAAAATAGTTTATAATTTACGCAATAGATGGCGTAGCGAAAGTCTAATTTCTAAATTATCCCTAAAATATTTTTTAAATGAAATTATATTAGTATATTTGTTTATAATATAGAAAATAATTAATAAATGTATAGATAGTTCAAATATATCTCCAGAATATCTTTAACTACCCGCTAAATGAAGTTTTAGATTGTAGTTGGGGAGCAGTCTTAGCATATTAATGGCTGACAGGGGACGAGGGGTAGTTGCTGTCAGAATCCTTCCTGTCGTCGCAGCAGGAGAGATTCATTCCATGGTTTGACTCCATTGTCTTACAAAAGTATCCAGTTGACAGGAGAGATGAAATCAGAACTACGTGTTCTCGTTTAGTTCGGATTTCATCTCTCCTGTCAACTGGATACTTTTGTAAGACAATGGAGTCAAACCATGGAATGAATCTCTCCTGCTGCGACGACAGGAAGGATTCTGACAGCAACTACCCCTCGTCCCCTGTTAGCGGATCCGGGACCTCGTCAGCCACTTCGGCGTCCAGTAGCTCAGATGGAGGAGAGGCCCCGGGTCAGACGACAGGTTGCTGGGGAGAGCCCAGTCCTCTGGATTTGGATCCTGAAATAAGAAGGCTGAGACAGTTTGGAATCACAGCGGACAGGGAGAGAGACTACGAGGACGAGAGGCGCACCAGTCACCATCCCTCTTCCAAGAAGCACGGCAGCAGCTCAGCGAAGAAGCCCCATTGCACGGACAGGGAGAGAGACTACGAGGACGAGAGGCGCACCAGTCACCATCCCTCTCCCAAGAAGCACGGCAGCAGCTCAGCGAAGAAGCCCCATTGCACGGACAGGGAGAGAGACTACGAGGACGAGAGGCGCACCAGTCACCATCCCTCTCCCAAGAAGCACGGCAGCAGCTCAGCGAAGAAGCCCCATTGCACGGACAGGGAGAGAGACTACGAGAGGCGCACCAGTAACAATGCTTAAAATGTGTTAAAAGTATAATAAATTTAATTTGAGAATTTATTAATATAATATTCCAATGACGTAAAAAAAACTTGGCGTTTTAATCTATATATATAAAAATGAATGCATGTCTGTTTGTCCTTTATGCCTGACCAAACCACTCATTGGATCGCCATGAAACTTTGGGAAGTTATTTAGTATAGTACTGGGAAGGTTTCTAGCAAATAAAATTTTTGAAATAACTTTTCGCCTAGATATAATCAAGATAAATATTCTAATTTATCTGTTATAATTCAACAATCTGCTCTAAATATTATCATGATGATACGATGATTTTGTAATGTAGAAAATTAGGAAAGACAAAATTCAGGATGACACGGCAATTTATTTGAGACAAGAATAATGATACAATTCCAAGGCAAGATACTATTCCTTTAACTTCCAATTACGGAGGGAACCAATTAATAATGATTTTATTCAACTTATCGAGTATTTTTCAAGGGACCGGGAAAAATGTTCACTTTATCGAGAGATTCGTTAGACAAACCTTTACTCGGGTAAAATCCGGGCGAAGCCGGGAATATCCATTTCGTAGCTACACCGTCTCTCCAAGAGGCAGTCTCTTATTAAAGGTCTATTAGAGATTCTTTAATAGCAATTAGAATCTTCAATGAGAGACCACCAACAGGAGAAACAAGTTGATTCATGTTTTTAGGTGGTCTTTCTTAAGAGACTCTATTTACATATTTAAAATATGAAAAAATTAAAATATTTTAAAATTAAAATATTTTAAAATCTACATTTTCTTACTGTTACGTTTAATTACTGTTAATATCTATATCTATATATATATATAAATGAATGTATGTCTGTTTGTTTGTCCTTTATGCCTGACCAAACCACTCATTGGATCGCCATGAAACTTTGGGAAGTTATTTAGTATAGTACTGGGAAGGTTTCTAGCAAATAAAATTTTTGAAATAACTTTTCGCCTAGATATAATCAAGATAATTATTCTAATTTATCTGTTATAATTCAACAATCTGCTCTAAATATTATCATGATGATACGATGATTTTGTAATGTAGAAAATTAGGAAAGACAAAATTCAGGATGACACGGCAATTTATTTGAGACAAGAATAATGATACAATTCAAAGGCAAGATACTATTCCTTTAACTTCCAATTACCGAGGGAACCAATTAATATTGATTTTATTCTACTTATCGAGTATTTTTTCATCTATCTATATATATATAAATGAATGTATGTCTGTTTGTTTGTCCTTTATGCCTGACCAAACCACTCATTGGATCGCCATGAAACTTTGGGAAGTTATTTAGTATAGTACTGGGAAGGTTTCTAGCAAATAAAATTTTTGAAATAACTTTTCGCCTAGAAATAATCAAGATAATTATTCTAATTTATCTGTTATAATTCAACAATCTGCTCTAAATATTATCATGATGATACGATGATTTTGTAATGTAGAAAATTAGGAAAGACAAAATTCAGGATGACACGGCAATTTATTTGAGACAAGAATAATGATACAATTCAAAGGCAAGATACTATTCCTTTAACTTCCAATTACCGAGGGAACCAATTAATATTGATTTTATTCTACTTATCGAGTATTTTTTCAAGGGACCGGGAAAAAATGTTCACTTTATCGAGAGATTCGTTAAACAAACCTTTACTCGGGTAAAACCCGGGCGAAGCCGGGTACATCCATACAAGAATAATGATACAATTCCAAGGCAAGATACTATTCCTTTAACTTCCAATTACCGAGGGAACCAATTAATATTGATTTTATTCAACTTATCGAGTATTTTTCAAGGGACCGGGAAAAAATGTTCACTTTATCGAGATATTCGTTAAACAAACCTTTACTCGGGTAAAACCCGGGCGAAGCCGGGTACATCCATACAAGAATAATGATACAATTCCAAGGCAAGATACTATTCCTTTAACTTCCAATTACCGAGGGAACCAATTAATATTGATTTTATTCAACTTATCGAGTATTTTTCAAGGGACCGGGAAAAAAATGTTCACTTTATCGAGAGATTCGTTAGACAAACTTTTACTCGGGTAAAACCCGGGCGAAGCCGGGCGGGTCCGCTAGTATTAATATATATTTAAAGAAAATATTGTAACATTTTTGTGTTAAATGTTAAAATGTAATGTTAAAATATATTTTTTACATTGTTAATTTAATTTGTTGTTGTTTTATAATAATAAAGATGCAAATTACATTGTTGTTGTTGTTTATTATCGTTTGTTTATATAAAAAAATTACATTGTATGTGATGATGATAACAAAAATGAATTTTTAAATTAATATATATATTTCATTGAGAAAAAAAAATAATTATAAAATTCATAAAAGTGACAATATTTTATTTAAAAAATATAATAAATGTTTTAAAAGAATTATGTGTTTCAAAAATATATTTAAACGCATATAACAATATTTATATTTATATACGTTTATAAATCAATATATACGAGTAGGTGGATTGGATGTTTTCTAGAATCGTTCTTGATCTGTCCAAGAAATTCTTTCCAATTGCTGTCCCAAATTTCATTTCTTCTGATAAATTCACTACTTTATTCTTAACTGGCAAAGGACCCTTCTTAAGTTTCCTATTCAAACTGAATGCTATCAATGATCCAACATGTGAATGCCGCTTAGATGTTGAATCACCTGAGCATCTTCTTTTATCTTGCCCTCTGACTAATCAAATTGTATGTAGATACTTTGAAACATTACCAAATTCTCTTTGTGTATATACTCTATCTTATGAGAACTTTGTTAAGTTTAGAACTATTTGTACAATAATTTACAAAACACTACTAATCCATCGTGTAAATAATTAATCATATATATGTAAATAATATTAGCACAGCACAATAGTCCTTTGGACTTCGTGCTTTTGTAACAATAAATAGAAAATAAATAAAGAAGGCTTCTTTTAAGAATAAAAATAGTATTTATTAATAATAATTTGTAATTAATCTGTGGGGACCAGGGATGCAGCACCCCGCCGACGCCGCCCGCCAAGATAAATAAACAGGCGGCCGCCATAAATCACCAGCACAGCGGAGGAATCCAGAGAGAGGACCAGATGTGCATTCCGGGGTGTTGTCCTCTTTGTCTTCCCATGTGAATGTAGTGTATTAACAAGAAACTTCAATAAAACACTAACTTGAGAAACTTTCTGAGCCATCGCTGGACCAGTAAATCGACACACCACATTGGTGAGCCGGACGTGATTGAAAAGAAAAGCATACGAAGATCTCAAGAGATAAAGAAATGCAAAAAGTGATTCAAGTTTGAAAAGAAGCATCATCCAGGATATCGGGATATCATCTCAAGACTAAGATAAGTTTTTATATTATCTTCCTTGTTATTTTATCTCAATATTTTTATTTTTAACTTTATCTCTAAGCTGTTGTGTCGAATTTAAATTTACGTAAAATGGAAACAGAAAATAAGCCTAGCGATACCTCAGAAATATGCAAAGTTAGTGTTAAAATACCGCCTTTCTGGGTTGAAAAACCTGAAATATGGTTCTTCCAGGTAGAAGCACAGTTCAAAATAGGTGGAATTATTCAGGAAGACACTAAATTTAATTATTTGATCTCCCAATTAGAACCTAAATATATAGAAAACATTTGGGACATAATTAATAGCAAAAGCGACAACAAGTACTCTGAATGTAAATCACGACTACTTGAATTGTTCAGAGAAAGTGAAGGGTTGAGAATTAAAAAGTTAATTTCAGGTATTGAGCTCGGAGACATGAAGCCGAGCCAGTTATTACAAAAGCTCAGATCCCTCGCTACCCCAGATATCTCTGACAATTTAATAAAAACTTTATGGCTTGATAAACTGCCCACATCCATAAAGAACATACTTATTGTAAGCGAAGAGGACATTAGCAAATTGGCCATAATGGCCGATAAAATAAATGAAATAAACTCTTCCAACGAAATATATGATGCGGAAATGCCTTCTTCATCAACAGATCGCTTGATCGCCAAATTGGAAGATCTTGAACGGCAGGTGTCCGAATTGAGACTGGATAGATCGGATAGATCTAGATCTCGATCCAAAAATAGGACTCAGTCAAGACCGAGAAGTAATTCTCAAAGATCTTTCGATCCAAAAGGGAAATACTGCTATTACCATTTTAGATTTGGTCCTAATTGCTTGCAAAATAAATGCAGGTCTCCGTGCAGTTGGAATGAGTCGGAAAACTCCAACCGGCGGACAGAGTAGCGACAACCTCTTCTGCCGGCATTCAGGATTGTCGCAATCTCCGATTATTTGTGACGGACAAAAACACGGGATTGCGCTTTTTGGTGGACAGTGGTGCTGATATATCTATAATACCTCCAAAGGATAAAAATAGGATGCCTAGCTCTG